AGTGTTCACACTTGTCTGGGAAAAGTGCAACTACATTTATAAAGTTATGGGTGAGCAAAAACCTTAGGATTCCTAAAGGTGTCAAAAAATGGTTTTACTATTTTTTCTCCAATTTTATTCGTCCTAAATTTTCATAACCAGTGAACTGTTAAAGATACCCAGAGCCGGGCTTAGCCTTTTAAAAGTACTGTCGCTGCGTTTTTTGATTTCCTGAAGATGTTAATAGCCATCATGGAGTATTGAATTTTTGTCAAAGACAAATCGAAAGCCTCTGAGCAGAATGGAATTTGACCCAAGTTTGTATGCCATGTCGTACTGTGAGGTCTTTTTGCTAGGTTACGGTAGCAGTGCATGTAATAGTTTTGCAATATGCGTATGGGCTATTAGTAAGTTATGAGACGTTAAAGACTTACAGTATACAATAAATCATATTCATGCGCAAAATACGACAAACTATAAGATAATTTTCGGTTCTTTATAAAAAAATTTTTTTAGACCTGACTTGCAAGTTTGATACAGTAACACTAATCTAATCTCAAGCAAGAAGAAAATGCTTATTTCATGATAGAAACCTAATCAACCTTAGTTATTATTGACATCCATTCAATTTTCTTGAAAAAATTGTACAAAGAAAGCAGCTAGTGGCAGTCAAACAATTTTTACACTTTCAAATTACTATAATATCCTCGGCATCCGTTCAAAGGACATCAACAACAACGCTCAATTTGATGAGTTAGCCCTTTCTGGAACTCTTTTTTGTGAAGCCCAAGCCTCCTTGGAAATTCTGTGGCTTGGTCTTGCTTTGACGTAATAAATCGCACTGCACAATGAATTAAAGTGAAGTTAGTGTGCCTGATGAGTTATGAAGTGTATTGCCTAATAATTAGCATATTCTGAAGAATAGATTTTGATAATGTCACATTTTTCTTCGATATGATAATTTTTGATTTTTCACTCCTAAAAAAGTTAATAAGGGCTTGAAGGTGAACTGATTTTAAGCTTGATTGCTAAAAACCAATAAAGTGCAGTCAGCCGAGAGGAATAAAATACGTCAGCAAGAATGAAGACGAATGCCAACATAATGCAATTATCCCTTAAAACTACGAAAATTGTAGATTTTCCTATAAATTCAATGTTTTACTCTTGAGAATTCCTTTTCTTCCTTCATTTTAATTAAATAAACCAGAAAGATCCCATAGTATGGGAATCCCTACGTAAGCTTTGATAGTAAACCTTATAGTCTGCCCTTAATTGTAATCTGAAGCCCCGGCAGCGTAAAAGAAGGCAAAATGTCAGGTTTATGAGCAAGGACAAATGAAAATTGATATTAGTGGTTATTGTCAAGCTGCTATCATTCCTCTGATGATGTGCATTGCATAAGAAGAAGAAAACTGTAAATTTTATTGATTTTCCTAAATTCTGCTTGTGAAGCGATTTGCTATATGATGTTTACGAGTTTGCTTGGTGAACCTTTCAGAAGCAGAGTCATTTCTCAGATTACTTACATTCTGATGATATCACACGCAACTTCAAATAGAATATAACTTATACAAATATTGTAGAAACATATAGGAGAGAAAGTTTAATAAATTCAAATCAGCTTTTCACGATTAACGGCACATTTCGTTTTTTATAAGTGATTTAGGACAGCTTTTCAATAAAGTGCATACTTTCATTCACAATTGCGTATTTAGTATGGCAATTAATGTAGGCAGATAGCCGGATGCTGCCTTATCGGCTCCACTAATCCTACTTAGGAAGCTCTCCTTTATTATGATCTAGTCATGTTACACATCCCGTCAGACCCTAACAACGCCATGTATCCGTCTTTATTCGCAATTCGTTCCTTCACTCGATTAAAGCTATCTTACTACGGTTTCTCAAATTTTTGTTGTACAACTCTGATCTAAGCATTTCATCAGATTCTGAAGACAAATTTAAGAAGTTCTTTTGAAAACGCTCTTTATATGGAAAAAAGCTTCCTTTCGCACACAAATTAACCACAAAATTTGTAGTGCTTACAATATCTTGAATATCTACATTCTACTGATTTCCCTTCCCAAGATATTCTGCGTATTTTCTCATTGATTGAGCCAAAATTGGACGTAACCATGAAGACCTACCCAGAAGCAATGCTGTCACGTGCGATTAGATATGGACTACTGAATAATTACCATTTTCATTAACACATTCAGCAAGATTACTGAGATATTAAAGTTTTTTTTTCCAAAAAAATTGTGCAATTTCACGTTAAAATTTCCAATGAAGTAATGATTTGAGAAAAGATTTCTTAAAATCGTTTCACTATCTCCAATCTAAATTTTATTTTGTATTTTGTATACATCATATTATCAATATTTTTGAAGTAACTGGAACTCTTAGCTATTCCAAAAATCAATAATTTCTAAGTTCTATTCAGAAGCTAATCTGTCACTTACTTAATCCGCTATCTACAATAGGTGAATTATAATCCTTCCCCATTTCTTAGACAATACGTGT